TAGCTTGCACACCTATGTCGTGGAACTTATTCTAGATTGAGTGTACAGGTTTTTTGTGGTGCACAAGAATTGTATTGGGAAGATGTTGACGAGAAGTTAAAATCAGACAAAATGAAATCAAGCTACATCGGCCATACTGTCACTGCTGTTATGGCACTACATGTCTGTATTCTTTAAGAATTTTGTTTTAGGTTTGTTTATGCATTGACTTCAGGATTTTTAGAGGTAATTTTAACTTTGCTTAGTATAACAGCAGCCTAACAGTAAGTATTGTAACTGTTTGTTTCATGGGGAACTTAACTGTTTTGAAAATTGTTAACTTTTGTTTAAAAATCTGCAAAACATTTTATGATGTGTAAACATGGACATACTAAGGAAAGTAATCCTGTGACACTGGTAGAATTATGATGCTGCCCTGAGTAGGTGAGATAATTGTCAGTTTAAAATACATTACTTACCAGTGATTTTTATTAAACTACATTCTCTTTATTAATATCTCTTCACCCCCTTATTTAAAAAAAGGTTTAAAGAATACTATGATTTAAAAAAAATTACATTAACAGTGCAGCCAGACCAGTAGAACCTTCTTATATAGTCATTCCCCTCTTACTGGAACTTTTGGGAGTCAGAGATAATCAAGAAGCATGGGACAGCAATGACTGTTGTTTCACAGTAATTCTGAGTTCTTTGTGGTCTCAGACACCCGAGTCCAGCATGCCCTCAGGCCAGCCCTGTACACTTGTGTAGTTGTGTGTCAGAGCTGTCCTGCTTCTAATGGACAGAGCCCTGGCACGGCAGGGATAGCACTGAGGCAGAATTAACAAGTCTCAGTGGGTTTTACTGAGCCGTAGAGCCATGTGGGTATTCCTGTACTCTCTCCAAGTTTCAGAAGATCGGTGCAGCTGCCTCTGCCTGGCATTTGGTTCCACCAGGACTTATTAACTCAGAAGAGCAGTGTATGAAAGCAGCTGAACTCCTTCTAGGCCAAAGTTGAACCTGGAATATTATAGCTGTGTTTGTGTAGCACTTGCTTTAGTTAATAGCTCGGGATGGATTTGAACTGGGTCTGCTTAAGTAAGCTTAGATGTTTTGCCATCCATGACATCATTAAGCTGTAGCTTACAAAAATCGCCCAAGGCTAATAAACTGCACCTACATTAGTGTGTTAACTCAGATCAGGGTGAAGGAAGTCTCGCAGCCATCTTCACTTGAGAAACCTTTTTTCACATTGGTTTGCACTGTTCCAGTGAATGAACTGGATTCCTTTTGAATGAAAATATATTGAGAAGTGCACCATTACCTGCAAATTGGCATTTGTTTCAGTGGGATGGTCCTCCCCAGGACGTGTGCTGTGGGCATCAGGGTCTCAGCTCCGTCTGTTTTAACTGACCTGCTGCTGTTGTGCTGCGCTGCTTGCTGGCACAGACACAGCCTAAATTGACAACACTGTGACTCAGAGACCTCACACAAATCCATCATTCTGGGGACTGAAGATGTCATGATTTCAGTATTTTGAATGGTGTCAGGACAGATGCTCACTGCTTCTCTTACCCCTGAATCTTTGTGACCACAGTAACATGCATATAAATTAAGCTCTCGCTTAAAGAGCTGCTCATTAAAATGCAGCTATCAAGAATGCTGCTCGCATCCACTTGAGGTAATGCTTTCATAAGTCAACTAAGGGTTTAAAAATATGTCAGGGCTGCTTAGTTCTTTACTTACACATCCAAATAGATTCTGGAAATTTGAACATCAACATATACGATACTGAGACCACGGTAAATAGACACTGAACTGTAGTGGTAGGGTAGTAGGACAGCCTGCAGAGAAGGTCAAGATACTGTTCCTGAAATTTCTACAAGAGTATTCTGCCTAGACCCACCCAGTTCAGCATCTCTTAACTTCCTATACCTAACCTGTGGTTTTGTGGTTGCTTATCAATTTGATGTCAGAGGCCTCTCTGCCTGCTGGAAGAGTACGTACATTTCTTGTGTGTTCTGTAGCTGTTGACAGAAAAAATGTGCTACATGGTAGCGTTTTGTCTGCTGCAAGGAACTGGATGCATCTTCTTCTCTCATCCAGATCGCTCTCTTCTAAAAAGTGAGTAGTTTCAGTCTTGGTATCTGTTGATCCTCAAGTGTTCATGATGGAATCAGAATTAAACTGTTCTGTGCTGGTTTCACACAGGTATTTACATATAGTAGCAAGAAAGAGACCAAAACTTTCTCTAATTCTAGTGTTGATCTTGAGTGTCACAGACTGCAGAGGTGCTAGGATGGGTCTGTGCAGTTGGTCTGTGGTCAGTAACAGGGCAGCTTTCTAGATGCTGTGAAAGTAACTGTACAAATATGGAAAAAATGGGAACAGAGTGCTTTGAGTAAAATGGGTTGTTGAAGCCCTACAGATAATGGTGTGTTTCACGTCATCTGACTAGAAGATTGCAAGACTAAATTTGGCGTGTTTTTACTTAACTGCCTTGTTCCTTTTATGCAGTAACAATTACTTCAGTGACTGCTAAATCTTTGCTTTTTAAATTTAAATAAATAAATAGAAAAACCAGATTTGCCTGTGTTCATACGTAGCATCCATTGAGTACTGTATGGTTTGGCATCTTTTCATTCAAAGAACTGTTTCAGCTCTTAGTCCCTAGGCCTTTTTTTTTTTTTTTTCCCCACTTCACCAAAATGGTGTCTCAGAGTGCTTATCAGAGCGAGAGAAAGGACTGCACCTACAGGCAGCCTGGAAAACTACTTCCCCAATTGTGCTTTTTTCTTTAACAGACCACTCCTTAATGTCTGGTGGACCTCAGATGGGGTAACACTGTTGTAGCCTGTTTTGAACCACTTCATTCAGACCCAGTAGCTTATTGTACTATCATCTGCCCCCAAAACAGCTTTGAATTTTGTCCGCTTGTTTGTCAGCTTGCAATATAGATAAGGACTGAGAGCCTTAAAGATCCTGATTTTCTTACTTTCCTGTGACTGTTAGCTGCTTTTTTTTTTTTTTTGGTGAAAAAGTTCCAAATAGTGATACCAAAGCAGATAAGGGAGTTCTGTTCCCTTCCATACTGTCCAAGTTTCAGATTCTAGAGGAATGTCGACAGATGTGCACATAGTCCAAAGAGACAAGAAACAACGTTCTTCTGAATAAAATGTTTTGGCAGTACACCTTTGCTGCTTTTCTTTGCCCATTCAATTTTAAAAACTCCAGAATGACAGAAAGGAAGTGTGTTCTTAGGCATTTGGATTCTAAGGGGGGGGAAAAAAGTTTTATATTGATTCTATTGCATAAAATAATCTTTATTGAACTATTGGAGGAATGCTTGCATTTGCTCTCGTTTCTTCCACTATCTTAGACCTTGTGTCTCAGCAGCATTTATCTTCTCCTTTGGTGAGATGTTGATGAATGCCCTTTGAGGCCAATTAATGAATGCCATCATCAGGAACCTCTTGTGATTGATGAAGTTGTAAATGTGAGTTATGCTGTGGAGTTGTATGTGTCCTTTTACCAGAGTAATAAGTTCTGGTGTTCAAAGATATTACCAAATACATTTGAGTTTCCCTTTCATCCTCTCCAGTCCACTGTATAAACTTATCTCTTGTAATTGTTTCCAGACTCTGTGGGAATAAAGTTTTGCTACATAATTCTCTTATTATAATTTTTTTGGCTCTTTCACATGTATCTACCATTATGGTAGACCACTGATATTAGCAGTTATTTCTAGTATTCAAGACTGTTAACTACTTGCTCTTGTACATGTATGGAAGGCACATAGGTCTCCAGTGAAGCTCGTTTCCTGTTTCTTTTGTGTTCAGTGGCAGGAAGCTAGGGAAAACATCTTATAATCTACAGGTATGTTGTACATAGCAGAATTTTGCTTATCATAACTCTTTCTCAAGGCCACCTGCTTCAGTTTTGACTCGTGGTTACCTGTTTGGATAACAGTTGCCGGGTAGGTACGGTACTGTAGGTTGTAAAGCAGTCTGTACGGTCTGTTGAGAAGCACAAATGTTTGCACAGGCAGCTAACTGGACTCTTGTCGCTTGTGATACAATGTGTTGGTAATTCGTATCCACACAATCCTGTGTGTTTGAAGTTCCTCTAATGCTTCCACACTGCAGTCTGAAGGTGCCTGTAGGCTCAGCAGTAATACTGGGGTCCGGTTTTGGTTGAACTGAGAGCCAACCTTTTTTGAAGACTTGACCATGTGAGGTTGCTCAGGTAGTATTGGAAGCAAGAATACATGCCTCGTTAGTTGTGTTAAGGGTGGTCTTGAGCATTATTTATTCTTGGGTGGTGCCTGTTACATGGTCAGTAATATGCACATAATAACCACCTGAAATGGTTAATGATGTTAAAACAATCTTTACTCTCCATGGTAGCATATTGACTCTCTGCTCACTCGTGGGCTATCATCCAAGTTGAGCTCTAGAAGATGTGTGAACTGGGAAGTTAAAAATAGATCGAGAACCCTCTTCCAGGCTTTTAACTGTCTATGTGCTGGAATTTGGGGATCTTCCCCACGTTGTCTTAAATACAATTCCTGTCAGTACTGAGCATCAGGATGTCCCAGTTCTTTCTCTCATCTTGTTCCATAGTCGTATCGTGTGTGATCATTTCTTGTACCAGGGAACTACTGGCCTTATTGAAAACGTATTGCAAGATCGCTTTATTTTAAAGAAACTGTACAAGCTGTTAAATGCTGTTTAATTCATACTCCTTGTAAACTATTGGTATGAGGATTCAGGTACAGGTTTGGTTTTCACTTCATTCTGAAACTTTGCTAGGAGTGCTGTTTTTCATTGTGAAAGAAGGCTTCTACATTTGTAACATAATGAATAGCATGGAAAAAAAGAGTTAAAAGTAGTCTTAGTTTGTAGTTGAATGTCCTGATAAAGATTTAAAATCATTATGGGCACTTACCATTTGCACTGCTTTTTTAATTCATGTTTGGGAACTGACTAGTACAAGTTTCCTTTTCTATCTTTTTGACAGATTGTGACTGGAAGAATGTCTTTTCCACCTCATTTGAATCGCCCTCCTATGGGAATCCCAACCCTTCCCCCTGGGATCCCACCTCCGCAGTTTCCTGGCTTTCCTCCACCTGTACCTCCTGGTAAGTTATGTTAGGATATGAAAGTGTTGTAGAAATAAATTACCTTTTATTATTCTGAATTGTATTATTTGTGTACATTGCAACTGAGTTTCTAGTTTACCCACAGATCGTGTCAGGTGAGCAAATTCCTTTTGGTTTACCAAAAGCTGTTTGCTTCTGACCAGAAATCAAACCATTAGAGACAATATCGGGCTTCGTCTTGAACCTTTTTTTCCAAGACTGAAGCCAGGTGGTGATTTTTGTTCCTTTCAAATAAGCCTTTGGAAACACTGGGGTACACTGAGTACGTGTGGTGTGAAAATACAGGAATAACTTTCAGAGAAGGTACAACTTCTGGCAGGGTTTTTCTCCACTTTTTTAGGAGTCTTGCTTTCTTTTATTCTGCTTTTTGCATACTTTCTTCCACACATCTTGCAAACTTACTGTTACATTCCTTCTTCCTTCTAATCTTCCTGACATTAATCCCACCTTTTTTTTCTTTGTTGATCTGTAAGATCAGCCTCTGTTTTTTTGCATTGAGACTTTAATTTGTTGGTCTGGAGCTACTTTTCTGTACATAGCCAGTATAGATAACAGTGACTGGAGGCAGGAGACCACAGAGCAAGTGGGAGAGAGGAATACTTCAGAGAATTACCCCTTTAAAATTCATCACTAGGGCTGTAGAAAATAACTCCTGTCTGTAGGGTCTTAAGCTGTGTTGTGCACAAGTGTTTTGTAGACAATAAAGGCATTCAAAAACCAGATGGCTGAACTCAGGAACAGTTTGTGCACATCCGTTCATCTGGCTAATCCTTACTTGCATTAATTTTTCTAATTTTTTTTTTTTCTCTGAGATCCATGCAATGTTCTGCTAAAGGCAGAGATCTTGATTAGGTACTGTTCTACCATGAAAAATTTCAGGTTAAATTTTAAAACCATACCTGTTATCTTTACTAGCTCCAGTTTATATATTCTAGTGTGAAAAATACCAGATGCTTTTAAAAATTACTTTCTGAAGAATACTTTGAAATGCCTGATGTAAGTTTCTGCTCTGAACACTTGCTTCTTAACGTGTGTGACAAAGATCTTTTTGTTCTGTTGCTGTGTTTTATTTTTTTATATGAATAGTCTTGTTTCAGTATTAGTAATCCAAACAGTTTGTAGAGTGGAGAAGCCTGGTATTAGGCAAAAATTAAATTTTTCTCTGCACACTAGAAACATGATTTACTTCCCTGTGCAGATAACATATTTTGACGTGTAGAGGATATGGATCTCTCATTTCTTAGTACAAGTGTATCAGTAGAATTGAAAATGCTAAAAATGCCATAGCAACTTTGTGAAAGTCTACTCCGAAATTGTTCCATAAGTAAGATCACAATTTTAGTGGCTTGTAATATTATCTTTAGCTAGCTGTTTGGTGAAAATTTCATGTTCTAGTTATCTTACTCAGTCTATAATTTTTTGAAAAGTTTCAGCTGAGCTGTGTAAGAGTGAAGTTAGGAAAAGTGTTTTACTTTGCTGAAAAATATGGCTGTTAAAAATAAGTTGTTCTAGCAACTTAAGTTCCAACTTAAGTGTGGAAGACTTGATAAGGAGGTGATTTTAATAACTCTTCTCATCTCCAAAGATTATTGGTTACCATTAAGATGTAAAGAAATGGCTGTTCATATGTAAGAAACGCTGTAGTGTGTCAGACCAGCAGTCCATATAGCTTGATGTGTTGTCTGGGCAGTGGGAATACAAGATGGTATTTAGGGTGAGCATGCACACCTATCTGCTCGCTGACTCTGTTTCCTCGTACAACTGTAGTGTTAGCGATGTTACAGAGTATGATCTTTCATATTTCCTTTATCTTTTTCTGGACCTGTCATTCGTCAATATTTTTATATTTTTTTGAACTTGCTGATACTGTTCATCTCTGCTGTTGTTTCCTGTGCTAGATTTGAGAAGTTCATTAACCACTGTGTAAAGTACTACTTTCTTTTGTCTGTAAACTCATTGCCTACTTAGTGTCCGCCTCCTGCCCTGGTTCTGATGTGGGCGTTAGGTGGATTGTGTCTTGTATTTTTGTACACCTCAGTCATGTTCCACACCTTGCAAACCTCCACACTTGAACAGTCTGAGTGCAGAGTCTTTCCTAGTAAAGCAGCTGCTTTAACACTTAAAGTCATGTAGTTGCTCTTCTCTAAGGCTGCATGTTGTTCTTGGGTTGCAGAGACCAGGTCTGTAGGGAGCAGTCACGGTATCGGTGCACCAGGTTTTTGTGTAGCAGCTAAGTGATGCCTGTGGTCTTGATAAGCACTATGTTTGCTGGTGATACCCAACGTTTTTTAGTGTGTTTTTTTGGCTTCTGCTGAGCATTGGGCTAATAGTTTCAGAGAATTGTCAGTGATAACACAAGTATCTTTACTGAGTTGTAACTTTAAAATCCAAGTTCAGCATTTTGATAATTATAGTTGTAATAGTTGTGGGGCTGCACAACCAGAGTCTTCTCTTGGAGTAGTTCCTCCAGTCTGTGAGATGCCATGGTGTGTTAAAACTGAGAGCATGGGAGAGCAAGACATCTTCTGATTTTCTGAATGGTTTGGAGGAATAGGAGGTAGTATGCCTAGTATGAAGGGACTGAGGAAGGGGATTGGGTGATGGAGAAAATAAATGAAAGCAAAACCAGAGTAGATAAGGAGAAAGCTGGAGAAGGTGTCTGAGGAGAAGTGTTGTTTCAGGACTAAGTACTGGAGAAAATAGGGGAATAAGTCCAGTAGGTTGCAGAAGTTTGGTTAGGATTTTAGGAATACAGCAGTAAGAGATGGAGAAGTGAAGGATCAAAGGGGGAGGATTGAGAGTGAAAAATGAAGAAAGTTTTTTGTAGAATAAAAAAAGAGATCTAGGATCCCTAGAGGGTATTTCTCTGAAGAACATGAGATTGATTTAATTGCTTTTGAGTCTCAATGTCTTTACTGGACAGCAAGTCATTTAAAAATGCATTCACTTAGTATCTTTAACCTCGTCTGGCAGCTGGCGTGGGAAGATAAACAGCCTTTATTACGATCAGATATTGGCTAACATGATAGTACTTGAAGCTGCCAGTGAATTTGGTAGTAAGAAAGAGGGTATTGCATGATTTCACCTGATTAAATACTGTTTTAAATTAAGTTTTAGAGACTGCCAAGTCATATATTCAGCAGGTGGAGAGCTTCTGGATTGAGGTTTTCTATGCCGCCTTTATTAAGCTATTCCATAAATAGTGACATGAAGCCTGGTGGCATTCTCCATAGGACTTTGTCCCTAACTTGTACGCAGAATTGATTGTGCTATGAGAATTGAGCAAGTCAGGAATGAGATTATAATCTGTAGGACTTCAGGTCTTTTTACTATCTATTTATGGGATTTCCTGCCTCATTCGTCGCGCAGCTATCTTCTAGAGCAACACTGGTTTGAAGGTGCTTTGAAAATAGATTTGTTTGTGATGAACAAAGTCAAAATGTTAATTATGATAAAAGTGACTAGGATGTACATGGTATGTTAGTGTACTCAGACTATACTTGAATGCTTAAGGAATTACTGGTAATCAGTACTGTGGAATTCTTATTTGAACAAAATGTCTGTCTGATTTGGAAATTATGTCTGTGATCAGTTCATTTGTATTCATCAGTAGTCTCAACAGTGCAGTTTAATATTAATGCCTTGTCTTTCTCAGGGACCCCTATGATTCCTGTACCAATGGGCATTATGGCTCCTGCTCCGACTGTAAGTATCACAATGGGGATGAGATGGTAACAAAATAAAATGGAGGGTAAAACTTAGTAGATGCTAACAGTATTTTTGTTTTGTTCTGTTCCATCAAAATTTGTACTATGAAAGGAAACGCTTCCCTTTATAGGCAACTGTTATGCAATGATTTAGGCTTTGCCTTTCAGTCATGCATGGTCTTCCTGTGCAGTACAGTTAGATCAGTTAGATTCCAGGTCTCCTGAGTTTGTTGGCCTAACAGGGTGTGCTGGAGGCATCACCTCATCCAGGTTTATAAGGCCATCATGCAGCACTGCTGAGTTGCCTAGAAAGTTGTGCGTTGACAAGCTTACAAACAAGCTCTCTGTCCTCATGTTGCAAGGGAGGGAATAGTTGCATATAATACGCATCTATGGAAAAGCATATGAGAGAAAGGTCTCTTTGTCTTACTGCTTGCTAGTTGGAAGCAAGGTTTATGATTTATGGAGTGGAAAGAAGCTCTTTAAAATATAAAGGTTACTTCTTGGCTTCAAGGTGAATTACCATTTCTGTGATTTTTGCATAAGTGAAATCTCCCTAAAATACTACATTTTTTGATAGCTTGTGTTTGTTACAGGAGGATATGTTCGTGGTAACTGATGTATTAAAGACAAAGATAACAGAACAAATGCATTATTCAGTTTTCTGATTAAAATAATTTTTATTAAGTGACACTTCCCAGAAGGGTGTTTTGAGAAGAGGGAGTCAGTGCATACCTGCTGTTAAATCTTAGGTGGAATGAGAGAGGTGCTGCAAAATGGAACAGGTGATCATGCCTATCTCTATCTGATTTATTTTACAAATTTTTGCTCCTTAACCCAAAAAGCCTTTGGGTTGTGTATTGATTAAATAAAGCAGTAGTGTTTATTCACTTTCTGAAAGCTTTAAGACCTATCACATGTCCATTGAAGCCTTCGGAGTCAAGAGTTATTTTTCTATTTGCACCTTGCTTTTTACACTGTTAGGTAAGGCACTTCAAATTCCAGTGGCTCAGATGTTGCAAATTAGTTATTTGTAGAAGAAATAATACCTCATGTTACTCTATGCTCACCTTGAGACCTTCCAGTAGCCGTGTTCAGGTACACCTTTTTTTTCCTGTCCCATCTTTCCCAGAAAATAAGAGTCTTTGTGTTGTATAAAGTGTTAAGGCCTGAACCACTTAATGGTGTCTCACTCCGTAAGCCTAAGATTGGTTTGCAAATTTAATTTTGAAATACATGTACATCCCCAACTCTTGTCTTACAGATTTAAATAATAAATAAAAAAAAACCTCAGTCTGACACTTTATGTAATACCACCTTCTCCTCTTTCTAGGTATTAGTTCCTACCACAGTGTCTATGGTTGGAAAACATTTGGGAGTCAGAAAAGATCATCCTGGCTTAAAGAACAAAGAAAATGATGAGAACAGCGGTCCCACTACCACGGTTTTTGTAGGCAACATTTCTGAGAAGGCCTCGGACATGCTTATACGGCAGCTTCTAGCAGTAAGTAGTGGACTGCTTGTTAAACTTCATTCCTGGCTGATGAATGAAATAATGACTCAGAAGCAGTGGATTGACACTAAAAGCAGAGTCTCTCACTGGAATAGCAGTCCATTGCGCTTGAGTCTAAAGTCAGTAAGTGAAGAGTACAGTTTTTTAAGCTGTAGATGTCAGTGAACGTAGACATATTTTATTTTTAGTACTTTACCCTTTTTACATGTCATCTTTTGCAAAAAGTGTTCAAGTTTTTCTAATGTTTTGAACATAAACAATATTTAATAATATTTGTCTTTAATGCAGAAATGTGGCTTGGTTTTGAGTTGGAAGAGAGTACAAGGGGCATCTGGAAAACTTCAAGGTAATTATTCATACTTCTCAAAATCTCTGGTGAGACTCTTGTTTTTATTACCTGGCAGCTTTTCAAATGTCTTGACACATTGCTATTCTTAATACTTTTACATTTTAAGTTATTGTATATTATACTTAACTGCTAAATACTTCGTAGTAAACAGCTAGTATTTTCTGTCCTTGGAATCACAGACAAAACAAAAAACATAAAATTGAGAAAGGTTAAATGAAAAAATGTCTTGGGGGCCTAATTTTGCTCACCTTTCTGTTCTGAGACTGAGTCAGGAGTTTATAGACCATCCCTGAGAAAGGTTTACCAGTTTGGACTTAACCTCCAAAGGAGCATATTTGAACTCTGTTATTAGTCTCTTCCCTTATTATGTATTATCCTTCTCTGTTAAGCAGATTTTCCTGATGTAAAATTTAACTTCCTTCCTTATTGTCAAATTGAACTGAATTATTTTTTCCTGTGACTTCTCCAGTGGATGAAGGAAACAATTTTGGTTTCTATTTTTTGCTGTTAGTGTTTTCATATCTGCCCTAGATGTTTTTTTTTTCTCTTTTTTAAGATGTAGTTAAGTTTCTTCAGCTTTCTTACATATGATACTTTGCTTGTTTTGCTCTCATAAGGTGTTTTTCTCATTTACAACTTTCTGTAACTGTTGTAAAGAACCTAATTATGAAATGCCCCTCTCTCTGGATTAATAATGAGCTGTTGATTGATGTCCTTGGTCTTCAGGCAATTGCAAACCCACCTGAGGCATGTCTTCATATAGACTGCATTCCTTAGTTAAGACAAACATGTCAGAAAGACAAACATGTCAGAAGTTTTACAAACACAATCATAGAATCATAGAATAGTTTGGGTTGGAAGGGACCTTGAAAGGTTATCTAGTACAACTCCCCTGCGGTGAGCAGGGACATCTTCAACTGGATCAGGTTGGTCAGAGCCTCCAACCTGACCTTGAATGTTTCCAGGGATGAGGCATCTACAATGTATATATTGCTTTCACCTTATTCACTGAGCTGTTAGTTATATCAAAGACTAATGCAGTGAATGATCTTTCAGACTTTTCATGATGTGTACTCCTGGTTTTAAACAAAAGAAGTGCCTATATTCCAAGTTTATTGATTCAAAATGCTTTTTTTTACACAAAGTAATTACCTGAAGAGCTTTCACACTTTCATTGTTCATTTCAATCGTCTGTTTCAGCCTTTGGATTTTGTGAGTACAAAGAACCAGAATCCACGCTACGAGCACTGAGACTACTCCACGACCTCCAGATTGGAGAGAAGAAGCTGCTAGTCAAAGTTGATGCAAAGACAAAGGCTCAGCTAGATGAATGGAAAGCAAAGAAAAAGGCTTCTAATGGGGTATGTATATAATCTGTGACTTGTGTTGTTTTGGCAGAAGGGTCAGTGTAACGTACTTGCTAGATCAAATTGTGAGTGTATCTGTTAGTTTCTATTCCTGTCTCTGCCCTTAATTAATTTTAGGATTTTGCCAGAATCACATTAATGATTCTGAAGATACGTTGAAAGGCAGTGAAGTATAAGCTCTTAAATCACCAGCATTCAAACTTATCTGTAAGCTGCAACTGAATCTGTAGAATTAACTCTGTAATTCATTCTAAAGTGTAGTAATATGTGCTATATCTTATGGTTCTGTTGCTTCATTTTTCTTTAGAAACTCTTGAAATTACATAAACACTAGAAGTAATTGTTATTCTATCAGAGTCTGTAAATCAGCTGTCTGACAAGAATTGGAGTTTCTTTCCCCTCCACTGATGATCTTCTACAGCAAATTAATTAAAAGGAAAAAATGTATATCATTCAGTAGATAATGCAGTTATTAGGCAGTGGGCAGCTTGCAGATGTTTACTAGATGGGGAAATTGGTTTTGTAACATCCCTTTCTAGAGCTAAGGATCTGTTCTGGAACAATAGCAGATATTTGATATGTTGAATTCTTGTGAGATACGACGATACCTAACTGGCAAATTTACATAAATATGAATTTTATCTATTTCTTTGCTAAAATAATATACTTCCCTTCACAATCAAGTTGTTGGGCCTGGTCTCTTTTAAAGTTCTGCATATGCCTTAAGATAGTACTTAGAACACTTATTTTCTGTAAAATGACAGTGAGAAGAGGCTTTCGTTCAGAAAACTAAATATACTAATCACACTGTAAATTTTTAAAATTCCAATTTGGAATTGTTCTTAAAGGTATGTAAAATACAGTGGGAACACAAGTACTTTTATTGATGACTTGAAGTACTTGACACATTTTTTGCTGTGTCCCAATGTATGGGATTAAATGCAGTGGCTCTGTGAAGCAGAGTACTAATTTCTTGGGTTTTGAATGGAGTAATGTACTAGTTGGTAACCCAGGTAAGGGTTTGATGTGACTGCCCCTTCCATTCAATATTCCGTGTTTCCTGTTGGCATCACCTGCAATACTGTGTTTCAGAGCTGATATTATAAACAAGCTTAAAGTATTAGTGGAGTTCTTGTACATCTCTCTTATGAATTTTGTTTTCTGTGAGTTCCTGTGGGTTAATAAAGCAGAGGGTGCTGTTTGTGGTTCTGGTAAACACACAGTATGTGCCAGTTCTATTGAACTGCAGAGTCAGATTAGCTCCGAGTGGGTTTTTTTTTGTTTGCAGTGGTACAAAGAAAGGCTGTGAATTGCCAAGGAATATTTATGAAGCATATTGTAATCATATGTGTGCAGTTCGTTTCATACCATCGCTGCTGTGCTGGTGCCACTCAGATCCAAAAGTTGCAGCTTTTCTTTAATCTTTTTTATTAAGAAATCACATGTGTACACTACAACACAATTTCTTATGGAGACAAACCAAGCAAGCCTTTATCTAATTAGCACCTCTCCCTGATCACTGCTTCTCCCTGGGCCTCTTCAGTTCCACTCCCTGTCACTGCCTTCTAGCTCTTTTCAGCCTGCTCCTCCTTGGCCTGGCAGCCTCTTCAGCTCCAACTGAATCCTCCCTTCCCCCTCATTCTTAGCTGCTGATCCATCAGACCCTTCCCTCCCCCTCTCTCCACCCACCACCTATCGCTTGACGGATACCCAGCTGGATTCTCAGGTGAGATTCCATTTTTCTAAAAGATTCAGGGGATCGAGAAGTGGGCTCCCTTGCTCAGTATGCTGGTCGTTGTTCTACCCTTTCATTTAGCATTTAGTGAAATGCACTTCTTTCTGTGTGTTGCCTTTTCTCCCTGCAAGGTGGAAAGGGGCAAAAAGATGAGGTACTACAAAGTAATCGGTCAACAGTAATAAGAAAACGTTTGCTGTGCAAGCAATGTTTTCCCTAACAATGTTTCTTTAGTATCGTTCTCCCGTTATAAGTTGCAGCTTGAAAATTATAGGTAGACATTTGTGTTGCATGGCACTTAAGTAGAAGGCTTTGAGGAACTGCTGTTGAAAAGACTGGAAGTTCTGGAGGATACAAGGCAGAAACTTTTGACTAAGAGCTGGACTATTGTGATTGCCTTTCTGTCAGTGTGCGTGCACTTTCTCTTTTCCTGCCTACCACCTTTATCACTGTTTATCTGTTCTATTTTACTATGCAATCCTACACTTGCTCTCTGCAGCCATTCACATGTAAAGCTCTGTGGTTCCTATGTTTGGATTTTTGGGGGGTTTTCTTGTGTTTTTGGGGGGTTTTTTGGGTGTTTTTTGTTTTGTTTTTTTTTGTTGTTGTTGTTGTTTTGTTTTTTAGTAAATTCTGTAGGGGTGTGAATGTGATTATCAAAGGTGAACTTCTGAAATAAAACTAATATTATTCTCGATTTGTTGATTCCTGTTACTTTGCAATTTTTCCTTAGAACTCCAGACCAGAGACAACGAATGACGACGATGAAGCACTGGATGAGGAAACAAAGAGAAGAGATCAGATAATTAAAGGGGCCATTGAAGTCTTAATACGAGAATATTCCAGCGAGCTCAATGCCCCCTCCCAGGAATCTGACTCTCACCCCAGGAAGAAGAAAAAGGAAAAGAAGGAGGACGTATGTGTTTTGATTTTGGACAAAACAGATTTTTCTTCAACTCACCTTTATATAATGGCCAAACCTTGTGCAAATACTTTAAACCTAAACTTCTGATGACAAAACAAATCAACAAGTATTGATGTCAACAGCAGTTTTTATTTTTTTAAGCTGAAAGCTAGTCAGTTAGAGACACCATCCCTTCATGATGGTTTAGGCATCTAAGCACGTAGACTTCTTGGAACAACAGGTTTGAATCTGGGCAGGATTGAGCCGACTTTTCATCTCTCTGAAGGTGGAAATATTGAATTTAGTGCAGTTTAATCTGTGCATGTAGGGTTTTTCAGATGAGAACTTAAAGAAACAACTGTAAAGAGTTCCTGCATACTGTCTTATTTCCATTAAAAGATTCCAGGGAGCTTTTGTAATGGCAGGAATTTGCTCTGGTAGTTTGTGATGAAATTCTTCTTCTCTCTGCTTGTAGTATGCATTTCGGTAGTGTCTTGATCCAACTGGTTGCAGCTGTCTCTCCAAATGTGGAAGTGCTTCATTAGCTGTTGATACGTGTACCTCAGAAACCTTGGAGGGATCCTTCAGGGATGAAAGGCATTTTGTAATCTTCCTGCCCTACAAAATCACTTTTACATGCACATGTCAATTTGGCTGGATTTGATCAGATAGTTTTTATATATATTGTGTAATGCAGAAAAAACCCTGTTAAACAGGAATGAATGTTCTGGTTTAGACCTGCTTTTATGGATGACCTTTTTTATGGAATGAAACAAACTGGAGAAGAGGGAATAAGAATGAGCAAACTCAGACTTAGCTTTTCCAGCCAAGTTTCTAACCATGGGAAGATGGGCTTTCACACCTACCATTCTGCACCTAATATGAAAGATTGGAAAATTGTTTGACCAAGACTTTTACCCACTTAAGTCTTTTGCAAAGTACCTATTCCAAGGCAATAATGCAGTTTCAAATGCTTATGGTGTTTAAGTGTGGTGCAAGAAGCAACATCTCCCTAAGGGAGTATATCTTCCCCACAACATTGTTAGCCATGGCTGACGTGAGGTACAAGAGTGCTGAGCTGAGAATTTGTTTTTCTTTCCTCTCCCTCCCTTTGGGAGAAGATGCTTTCTTGGATGAGAATTTACAAATGAGTCACTGTCTAATGTTATCAGTTGGGTTTTTCTGTTACAAGCATTGTTACAATGTGTATTGTCCTGTGGGTACATATATATATATGGCCATGAACAATGCTAGGTAGTTGAACTTTGTAAGAGACCATTGCAGTCTTGGAAGAGCTGGGTGCTGAGTATGTCCCTGGGATAGAGAGGTATTCTGCTAGCTCTGTATGATGTAGAATTTGGCCAATCTGAGCTAGTCAAGTAGACAAATAACTCTTTTAAAATACATAGCACTTGTGGGTTGAAATTACACTCAATCATCCCTCCCATACTGGGAAGCGGGAAAAGAAACTTGGAAGTTGCCATCTTTGGCCTGTGTGGATAGAGGTGGGAGTGAAGAGATGGTCCTATCCTGTTGCTCTCTTGTCCTTAACGGAGAGGAGAAAGAAGGACTGTGGAGGGTGGTGGGGAAAGGAAAGATGGATGCAGATATTTGGGGGGGGTGGTGGAGGGAAGCTTACCTGGTTTGGGGCTGTCGTCCCCTGAAGGGCTTGGTGTGAAGAAGACTCCTGCTGGTGTTAGCGGCGGAGTCTGTTGTTAGTTCTTCTGGATGAAGGCATGACTGATGTGGGGGAGTTGAAAATGTGTGTGGGGAACTGAGAGTGAGTGGAATCTGGTTTTCAATTTCAAGCACGGGGGAACCTCGCTAATTCGCACTAACTATTAGTTAGTAGGTGCAATCTGTCGAATTTTGCGAATTAGCGAGAAAATGAAATCAAGACGTACCCACTGCAAATATACTGATCATTTATATTGGCAAGTGTAGCTTAGTCTTATTTATGATGCTACCACAGCGTACTATTATCCTGCAGTATACTTGTAATTCAGTGAAGTCTTACTAATATGAGACCTCACTATGTATCTTAAGTAGTTCAGAGAAGGGAGAATTAGCGAGGTTCTTCTGTAATTTTTGTTGAATCAAAGAAATGAGATCACAGCAATACAATATTGCTTTATAGTACAAACATACAAAACATTGTTTTTCAGAGTAGTATGCAATCTATTTTAAAAAAAAAAATCTCCGTGGATTTTTCCGCAGATTTTCCGCAGATTTCCAGTGGCCCCACTGATACCTTATCCACTCATCACCAAGGTTCGTTTACATTGTAGGCTTTGACAATGACTATGTTTACTGCTAGTTGCCAGATTTGTGACTCTTATCCATCTGATTTTTTTTTTTTTTCACTCATTAACATCAGACTGTCAGGTTTGGCACTGCAGAAGGACTTTGTTTATCTCTTGCAAGACTGGTTGAAAAATTCTAACCTTCAGCTTTTCTCTTGTTCTCCTATGTCTGTACAGATGGCTCTTAATGCTTTTTCCCCTGTTCCCCTTGTTTTTTAGGAGGATATAAATGCTATAGAAATGGAGGAAGACAAAAGAGACCTGATATCAAGAGAGATCAGTAAATTCAGAGACACACACAAGGTAGTATTCTTGTTTTTGCACTTGATACAAATTAGGCTTTTTCAAAATCCAGAAAACCACTATTATAAAATTTAGCATTACCTTGCAATATCACTTAAAATTGTTTATATTAGGTTTAATATACATATAGTTCTTTACAAGTCAAAAAAGACAACTACCACGTTAAAGTGGCCCTTGACATCTTTATGCTAAGACTTTGATTGCTACTGATTATTTTGCAGTCTTCTCACTTTAACATGCATAAAGGCAACTTAAGTTTCTACACATGCATTAAGTCAAGATATTTATAACTAAAGGCTAAACGGGGCTTAAGACATACACTTGAGTGTGTTTCTGTAGGTGTATTTGTAACATAATCCAACATTTTATGAAGAGTTGAAACTTGAATTAAATTTAAGTCTTTTATTTTAATAGTTCTAAGTTAAGAGTGGGGGAAGATTAAAACTAGGTCAGTGGTTACCAGACTTACCAAACTTTAGATGCATGGAAGAACTGTAAATTCCCATAAAGCTAATCTATTCATTGACCCCCACCATTATGATAGAGATCATATGGTGACTAATGCAAGATGAAACTCACAGCTTGGAAAGTAACATGGAATAGGATGTAAGTATGAGCTTCTGTTTTTTATTATACTTATGGATGCCCCCTCAGAAAAATATGCAAAGGGGTAACTGGCTTGGAAATGTTGGTGCACATCAAGTCCCACCTCAGGGTTCCCACTTACAGGAGTTTTCATTAATCCTAGTGCATCTGTGGATGTTTCTGCTTTGGAAAATTATACCTGCTGATAGTAAAGCACAACTATGCATGTGATGTTCTTATTATAATGTTTGGCTTAAAGTTGGTATTATTTTTTCCCCAACAAGACTGGGGTCATCCTTGGCCTAGGGAGGTATCAGCAAGCTCCTCTTTTGAGCGCACACTTTTATTTCAAAATACCCCCAAATTGATGTTACAGAAAATGTTGAAGGTACAGCAAGGTGAAGTATGCCCGTGTTGTTCAGCTTTACCACATGCAGTCACTGGGGATGGTACCATGTTTTCACACAACTGTATCAATGTAAACACATGTGACTACACGTTGTATGTACACGTTTTTCTCTTGACTGAAGTTGTTGGAGATAAAAACCTGGGGGAAAATTCTAGAAGAAATCATCTGGAGAAGCTCAGCAATTGAACATGAAACTGGTCAGTCGTGAAACTCAAGTAGAATTGTGTTTAATTCCAAGCCCAAAGTTGTCACCGGTACTAAGATGCAAAAAAGTAATAAGATTGGAAAAAAAAAAAAACCAAACAAAAAACCAACAACAAACAAAAAACATGCTTCGCTGTTTCAGAAGCTGTTGGGCATTTTACTGCCTTTAATCTGTATTATTGGGGGGGTGCTGTTTTGGGTTTCTTAACATGAAAAATCAACTGACAGCAGTCATTGTGTATATTGGATATGTTTAAAAGGGGCTGTTGAATCTTTAGCAGCTGGCTAGTGAGCACAGTGAACCTTTGCATGTTTTTGGTGTGAGTTTATAAAACAATAACCACAGACTGTCAGGGTATCAGCATTGCAGGGGGCGTCCATTTACAGCACGGACGAGTCTGAAGAGAGCTCAAGGTAAGATTTATAATTCTTCTACCTGTTCATTTCTGTTCACTACTTCAGTATGTCTTGATACCGTTCCCATCCCATTACCCTTCCTCTTATTTAGGCTGATAGAAGTTGATGAGGTCAGATTTTGATTACAAAATAGACCAATTTATTTTTTCAATTGGATTTTAAGAAAGTGGACCTACCAAACAGATTTTAATACACCAAGATGTGTGTGTATATTTACACACGTGTGAATATATTAAAAAAAAAAAGAGAAACCCACTCTCTTGAGAAATAATTTCTCACCACAAACAAAGGTTTTGAGAGTGGCAAAAAAGCAG